GAGAGAATAGAGACTATAAGAGCAGAGAAATAACAGTACTCTTAACCTGAAGCTACTAATGTAATAAACTACACTGTTAGAATTATAAATGTCGAGCTGCCCTTGCATCCCTCAAAAGGAGGCTGCAAACTGTGTGCTAGGTAGGATTTAGAGATGACTTAATCAGGATATTTACAATGGTGTTCCTAGTCAACACTAACCTATGAGACCCACTTCACAAATGCCTTTTATATATTTTGGTGACACTTCTTGTCCAAATTGTCTAGTGTTCTCAGGACCATTTATCCCTTATAGGTATGGCAAACTCACTTGTCAAAATCATTTGAGCCCGATGCCACTTTTGTTAGTAGAAGTTAAAAAGCACTACAATTTTGGTTTGGTTGTTTTGAGACAGGGTCTCATGTACTCCAGGCTGGATTCTATGTGACCTAGGCTGGCCTAGAAATCTCACCTCCGGTTACCATACTAACATATGCCACTATGGCCAGCAAAAAAAAAAGAAAAAAAAAAACAAAACAACAAACCATTCTTTATTTGATTTCTGCATATATTTTAATTTTTCTTTTACCTTAACTAATGCTAATAATTTTTATTTTCATTCTTTTAAAGTTTTTATGTGAGTCTGTGTTGTGTGTGTGTGTATGTCTGTGCACACCATGCATGCAATGCATGCAGAAGCCAGAAGGAGGCACCAGAGCCTCCTGGAAGTGGAGTTACAGATGGTTGTTAGCCATGTATGGGTAATGGGAACAGAACCTGGTTCCTCTGCAAGTACAACAACCACTCTTAGCCACTGAGCTCCTGAGAATTTGCATTTTTAAGATAATGATCAGTATTGTTCATATCTTTACTGTGATTGAACAATTCTCTGTGAAAAAGTGTATCTTCAAAGTTTTCTCTCACTCATTTTGTTAATGCTATTTTATTTTTTTTTCAAATGGACAGATTTTGGGTAAACTGATCCCCTTTCTCATTTTTTTTGTGTCCCTTTTCATAAGTTTCTGCTCATTTTTCAAATCCTCATTTCCAGTATACACATATCCCCTCCCGTGGGCTGTGGCTGGTCTAGGAGATTTTCAGTGTCTTGCTTGATGGATTAAGTTATGTCAACTTCATTTCTGGAGAATTTCCTCTTGGGGAGAAATTGTGAAGTTTAGAGTTATGTTGGCTTGCAGAGGGCTTGTTTATAAATGATCATACTGAGATGTAAAAGGAAGTATTAGACCTCTCAGCCCTGACTGTGGATGGATACTTTTAGATTTGTAAGAAGCCCTTGATTAGGAGTTGGGCTAGAGCATTAAATGTAGGTAAATCCTTAGATGGAAAAGTCATAGTCTTTTTCAAGTTTTAAATATACGTTGAGAATGCTCTGATAGTATAGCATTTGTACAGCATTTTCAGTAGCCTTTTGCTTTTTAATACTTGTGTTTTTATGTGTGCATGTGTGTACACACGTGTGTGTCGTATGTGTATGTGGCATGTATGGTGTGTGTATGTGGTATGTGTGGTATGTGTGTGTGCATGTGTGTATTGTATGTGATGCATGTTGTGGTATGTGTGTGCATGTGTGCGTGATATGTGTACACATGTTTGTGTGGTGTATGTGTATGTGTATGTGATGTGTGTATGTGTGTGTGTGTGTGTGTGTGTGTGTGCACTACATGTATGTAGAGGCCAGAGGAGAGCCCAAAGGAATCAGTTCTCTCCTCCTACCATGTGACTTCTATAGATCAAAATGAAGTCATTAATCTTGGCTACAGAACCCTTTACTCAACTGAGCTAACTCACAGGCTCTCACAACCCATTTGACGTGTTCCTTTTATCATTATATAATGACCGCTTATATAAAGGTTGCTAATGCCCCCCTCCCTTCCTCCCTCCCTCTCTTTCTACTTCACTAGCTTGTCTGATGTCAGCACAACAACAGCAGCTTTAATTATTGGTATTGATTGAGCTTTATTAATTTATATATAGGGGTATGGCCCTTGACAAATTTATTCAACCTATTTTCATACAGTGAAATTCATGTGTTATCTTATTTTGATCTTTTGTTCCTTTCTGTTTTATATTTACCTCTTTCTTTTTCAATCCTTTCCCTTTATCCTGCCCTGAACTGGGCTGAAACAAGATTTCCACACATAGCCTGTTATTTGAAAGCATGTGCTCTCTTTTTCTGTTCTTTAAAGGTGCCTCACACTTTATGTATCAAAGTTAATCAGCATGCCTATTATTTTTAGTGCAAGACAAACTCTTAAACTGTTTCAAGTCTTCCTCCGTCTTGTTTGAGAACACCAAACCCAGTCACCCCTGTGGAAACTGTTGTTTTAAGTAGATTTACTTGGTGCAATTGTTTTGCTTGCCCTTGCCTCTGACATCCTACTCTTGTGTTCAATTTCCTTCTCACGGAGTTCTGTGCAGGTCGCTCTTGCCCGGGAAGCCTTTGCTATGCTGTGGGAATAGTAAGTTCTCGCATCGCATCGTTGGCTGCTACCTTCTTGGTTCTGTAAAGCCATTGCAGCACGGAGTGAGGGTGGCAGCTACTGCCCCAGGCCCTGCAGTTTTAACTCCATTGTTGCTGATGAGAAATCTATCGTTGGTTCAGTTGTCTTCATTTGCTACAAACAAATTCCTTTGTCTCAGGGGGCCTGAAGATATCCTCTTTGACAGCCCGCAGGTTCTCTGTAAGTCACCCTGGAATATTTCTGTTCTTTCTCCTGGGACTGGTGAGTGTTTGTCGAGATTCACATCTTTCTTCATCTTGGGAGCACCACCGTTACACTCTGAGCACTGCTTCTTTCCCTATACTGGGAGATGGATTTCACTGGAATTGCCATTAGATCTAGTCTGTTCTGAAATTCTTCTCTTCTGACTTTTCTTCCACCTCTGTTTTGGGAAGAGCTAATTTCTTTCTCTCCTCCTGTCCAGGGGTGCTCCTTCACAGTGCCTTTGCTCATTGTCTGACTTGTGATTTTTTTTGCCTTGGGGAGCATCTTACTAATATTTTTTTCTCCTCTTTTCACTTTGCATGGTCATCTCATACATCTGGGCTGTAGAAACTCTCCTATGGGGCATTTCAGCATGGGCTCCAGCCTGGGCTCCAGCAGACTTCCCTGACTTGGGAGTGGCTTTGAGGTTAAGGTTCTGATGGAAACTCCAGCCTTAAGGTGATATTCAGAGTCTGGAGATGGGCCAGTACATCTCCAGCGCATATAACACATGCAAAAGGTTGTGTGGACTCCAATCTTTCATTTCTTTCGTGTGTGTGTGTGTGTGTGTGTGTGTGAAATCTTTCAATTCATAACACATGGCAGACAGTCCTTTCCTGCTTCCTTAGGGCTGGGAGAGTTCTGTTGTCTTCCACACAAGAAGCAGCTTTCTAGGGAAGCCGACTCTTGCGAGATTCTAATGGCAGGCTCCAGCTCTCTCTTCTCTGCCTCTAGCACCTGACACTTACACCCATTCTCATTTATATTCATTCATCCGATCTCTCCCACTCCCCGCTCTGGGTCCTGAGTAGTCTTCAGGCCACGAGACCCAAACTCAGTAGCCAAAGCTCCACCTATCCCCACCCCACATATCATTTTGTTAATTTCAGAGTGTCTCACTATAGCCCGGAACTCACCACATGGCCCAGGCTGGCCTTCGACTTGCTGTCATTTTCTTGTGCCCCAAGTGCTTGGTTCACAGGTGTGAGTCACTACACCCAGTTAACGTCCCTTGGACTTATTTTCCTGAATAAAGTTTGGAATTTTCACAAAAGCTTGGAGGTGATTAGCTTTTGTTGTGGATTTCTATGTGTCTTCTCAGGGTTTGGAGAGCTGTGGTAGGACCATGTTCCCAGATCATGAAGTGTCCACTCCTAAGTGCCAAGTCCCAAGGATGGTAGAGGCAGAATGCTGGAGGCCTATCACAAAGAATGAGGGATTCCCAGAGAAAGGGCTACTCTACTGGCTCGATTTTTTTTTTTTAAAAAAAAAAGCAAACTCACATGCACACAGATACACAGAGTCTGTCAAAGGGACGTACAATGAGCTTGGGTCAAAGCTATATATAAAAGCCCAAACATCAGTCTCCTGAGATGGCTCAGTGGGTAAAGGTGCTTTCTGCCACTTTGATGACATGAGCTCACTCTCCAGGATTCAAATGACAGAATAGAACTGATTACCACAAGTTGTTTCTTGACTATTACATGTGTGTGTGTGTGCACACTCATGTGCGTGCACGCACACACACACACACACACACACACACACACAAGACATACAGACACATACTCTAAATATTTTAAAAGTTAAAATAGTAGAAAAGCTGACTAGGAGGTGGCAAATGTCCCAGTACAGTGGCTCAACAGAGGGACATGCGCTCCTTTAAGGCGGGCTCAACACAGACACTTTTCCTTTACATCTCTTTGTGTGGCAGCAACGCTCAGCCTTGCTGGACAGTGTTCTAATCTACCTCCAACCCTGGCCAAGCTTTCTAATATAAAAACAACTTCACCATCCTCCTCCTCTTCATCTTCCTCTCCCTCTCTTCTTCCTCCTCCCCTTCTCCTCTTCTCTCCTTTCCCCTTCTCTTCCAATTTCTCATTTAGGCAGAGAATCACTGTGTAGCTCTGGATATGTCAACCAGGCTGGGCTTGAACTCATGGAGATTTGTGAGCATCTGCCTACCAAAGTGCTGGAATTGAAAGTCATTGCCACCACATCTGGCTAAAAATCTTTTTTAAAAAGCTGGGTTTTTGTTGTTGTTGTTTTTGTTTTTGGAGGGGGAGGTCTCCTTTTGTAGCCCAGGCTGTCCTGGAATTCACTCTATAGCCTGTGCTAGACTTTAATCGCAGTGGTCCTCCTGCCTCAGCAAACTGGAATATGAGATGTAAGCCTGGCTTCTCCAGGGATTCTTGGGGCCTAAATTAAGAACCTAGGGATGTGATTAGCTCAGCTATAAAGTTTCAGCACAGACTCCATGTCCAGAGTTCTGCTGGCCCAAACTTTAGGACTTACCGTGTAGTTTCGAGTGGAGGAGACGTCAGTGCCATCTTGCAGATAATGCGTCTCCATGAAGCCATTGGCAATGAGTCCCCTGTGGAAACAGAAAGGACATGGAAAGATGAGTGTGGTACTGCTCGACTACACCGCTGTGAGCATCTCAGGGCTGGGTCCCAATGGGCTCCACCTCTTTAGTTTTCCAGGGAGACACTGGAGGGGATCCAAGTAGGGGACAGTCTGCAACACATGTTTGAAGAGTTGCCCACGTGGGACCCATAGGGTCCCCTTCACACCTCTGATCCCATTCCTCTCGGGTTCACACTTAGCACTCTCCATGTACCTGGATGGACACCCCCCCACACACACACCCTATGCATCACACATACCATACCTTCTCCACATCATTACTCCCCCCCACATGCCACACTTTAAAACGGTTGTACAGACATATTTACAAGTTGAGAAAAGCCACCCCCAGATATCACATTGCTCCACAAACTGGAATCAGTAGCAAAACCACTTCTGGGAAAACTGTTTTGGATCCATAGTTCTCCTCACAGGTGAGAGAGGCTAGCTATCAATATAGAAATATCACAGGGGAGGTTAAAGCGATGATTAAACGTTAAAAGTGATGTAGGTGTGAACTAGAAAACAATTTTTTTGACATACTGAAATCCTGAATTTCCAAGATAAGCTAAATTCAGGAAAGCCCCTTCCTTGTGTCCCAACTAAAACTACGATAGTCGCCAGATCTTCACTGAGGCCAGAACACAGGCTAGGTGGCCTTAAACTATTTTGCAGCCTGAGATTTCCTGCTCAATGCAATGCAGGAAAGGTTTCCTGTATACTGACTATGTACTGTTTTTAGTTGCTGGGTCATAGAGATAATTCGACCAATCTCTGCTCTTGAGGATGCGTCAGGCTGGAAGGGTGAGAGAGGACTGTCTCAGAGTAGGAGAGCTGTATTCGGGTGAACCAGTGCGCAGTACGCAGAGCATCAAGAAGGCTTTGTGGTGGGAACTGGACACCAGTGTGTCATAACAGAGAGAGGAGAAGGCTGAAGGGCATCAGAGTGTGTGGGGCGGAGGCACTCCCAGGATGGCGGTGGCCACGACAGACTACCCTAAGATCTGGAATCGGGAAGCCAGTTTGTACAACGCAAGAAAGGGCCCGAAACAGAATCTGATTTCATCTGTTGGGGCAATAGAGTCCAGAGTGGCTTCAAATTCTGAGTCACGGCAGGTGCAGTGGAGGGGATTGGTAGTGGGTGGGTGGGGACAAGAGGTGAACACGTGACTCAAGTCCAGCCAATCACATATCTCCTTTGCAGGAAGTGGGGCAGTGGAACTTCCGGAGGTGAGGCTTTTCCTCACATTCTTAAGAGTCGGGGTGTGGCTGCAGAGCTGCCTTCAGCCTGGTGTCCACTTGGAGGGGATGCTGGGAGTAGACAAACCTGTTGTCCTACAGTGATGAGGGGAAGCGGGGAGATGTCCAGCTGTGAGGGTGGTGTAGCACCTCTGCTCTCCAGTAAGCCCCTCTTCGGTTTGAGCTGGTTCCGGCTGAGTTTGCAGCTAGCATCCGGATAAGTACCCCATTTTAGGGAGGCGGGAATGCTGGGTATGCCATAAAGGAGAGGACTTGCTTTCCAAACTCATTGTCTTAATGCTCTTCCAGCCAAGCTCAGAATGGAGGGCAATATCCCCATTTTACGTGTACTTCAATACATTCAAGAAACACGCATGCCTGTTTTAAGTCAAGTAGGCCATTGGTCTGAGCTGTGATGTGTTTCAGATGGGCACACCAAAATAGAAGTCACAGACGGCTGACAACCACACATGGATTTTCCTGAGCTCCGAGTTTTGTTTATCTCCGGAATATTAAAAAACACATTTCAGAGGAATTCCCTGGTGACATGGGTGGGGTGAGGGGAAGGGGGGAGTGTGTGTGGGGGGGTGGGGGTGGTGTCACAATAGTCCACTCCCAAAGTTCTTTTCTCTTTTCAAGCTGGAAGTTTTAACTGTCTGTGAAATGTCTTTCAGGTCTGAGAGAACACAGCCACATTCACACCTGGAGCTCCAGAGTGTTCTGAAGTGACCCTTCCTGCTTCTTCCTGTCGTGTCTCTAAGCAGGCCCTGGGGTGGGTGGCCTAGGCAGCTGTGGCCTCCTCCTGACTCCACCCTGCTTTCTATATGGAATAATATCTCTGCTGGTTCCCACTTCCTCTGCCCAACACTGGTCCCTGGATGACTCTAGAACATTCCACCAAGGGCTTTTGCATTTGCCATAGACTTTGCCTGGTTTGTCATGCGGCTGACTTCTTTTCGCCCTTCTTAGTGTAAATGCTGCCCTCCCAGGGCCTCTCCTCTGATGTGGGATCTGAAGCAGCTCCTTCACCGTCACCCACCGCGGGAGCCCTTTGGTTTCCTGTATAGCATTTCTCGGTTTATTTTATCTGTTTACACTTTGCCTCTCTTTGCTCTCAAGAATGTAAGCCATAGGGGACGTTCATTCACCATTGCATTCCCAATGGTGCAGCCCGCCCACATAGCACACGGCCTTCTCCTTCCTGAGCCAGTAAAGAATTTGCCAGCACTCCAGCACTTCCTTTTTAAAATTATTTTGAGATTATAACTTAATTATAACAGTTCCTTTTCCTTCCCCCCAACTCACCTATACACCCGCCCCACACTTTGTCAAATTTATGGTCTCTGTTTTTCACTAATAGTTATTGCATGCATATATATGTGTAAGTGTATGTATGTATATATATATATATATGTTCCTAAATATAACATATTAATTCCATATAATGCTACTTGCATGTATATTTTCAGGGCTGGTTGTTTGGCCCTGGACAACCATTTGGGGTGCTCTTCCGTGGGGAGGACCACCTTTCCTGCTCCCAGCTTTCCTCAGTCACCTACAGTTCCTTGCATAGGGTTGAGGCCACATTTCTTTTTTCTCTCCTCCCTCCACTTTGGTGTGTTCATTGGTGCCGTCCTTATTTAGTTCATGTTGGGCAGTCATGTCGCTGCAACTTCATGGGTGTAGCATCTGACATTACTAGGAGACACAATCTCACAGCAAACTCCCTGATCCTTTCTGAATCTTGCAGTCCTTCTACCCCCTCTCCCACAAAGTTGCCTAAACCTTATGTCTGGGAGTGTTTTGTAGATGTATTCATTGGGCTGGACTCCACAGCTCTGCATTTTGGTTGGTTGTGGTTTTCCGTAGTGGTGTCCGTTCGTTGAGCGCTTTCTTTGAGCCAGGCATCTGCTTTGCCTGTGTGGCATCTCATTTAAACCTTTATAGCCGCTAGCTGTAGGAGTGCCTGCTATTGTTGTTCATTTCTTTGTGTTCTGTCTCTTGAGAGCGGTCCAGCCTGGCTTTGAACTCCAGATCCTGGTACAGGCTCTAAGAGAACAGACACTGTGTCACCAAACTCAGCTCTAACTCCAGACGCTGTTTTTAATCTCAATTTAAAAACAAAACAAACACAAACAAAAAACAACTCCAAAGCCAGAGATTCAGGGGAGTTCAGGTAGCCTGTGTAAAGTCACACCCAAGCTTGTACTTTAAAAAAGGTTATTTTTATTTTATGTGTATAAGTGCTTTTCTTGCATGTGTATATAGATATGATAGGATATAAGGGTAGATTATTGAATCTACTCTGAACAGAAAAAGGAGGGATATAGAAATAGGATGGCTGCAAAGCCACCGGCAAGCGGCTCTTTTGTGAATTTGTACCCCAAAAGTGAAGCGCCAGATATAGCATGAATTCTAATCGATCTTAATATTAAAAACTCAGAGTCAGATATGGGGTTAATGCTGAAAGATCGGAGACACAAATCAGTCAGTCACTACCTTTTAACTCTACATAATCCTCAGATCAGAGGGGCAATTCTGTCCTGAGGAATCCTCAGCTCTGAGGTCCTCTCTACCCAGCCAAATCTCTTACTGTCTTTATTTCCCTAGTGCTAGGATTAAAGGCGTATTATCCCAAATGCTATAATCAAAGGTATAAGCTCTGTTTCTATTTTAGACTGATTCAATCTTGGGTAGCCCAGGGTGGCCTTGAACTCACAGAGATTCGCCTGCCTCTGTCTCCTCAATGCTGGGATTAAAGGTGTGTGCTACCACTGACTGGCCTCTGTGGCTCTCTAGTGTGGCTAGTTCCACACTCCGGTCTTCAGGTAAGCTTTATTTATTAAGCACCAACAAAACATCATGACATGTATGCCTGTGCACCACATGCGTGCCTGCAGATGTTGTCGGAGGATGCCATCAGATTCCCTGGAAGCGGAGCAGTGAATGGTTGTAGGGTAACGTGTGGGTGCTGGGAACAGAACCCTGGTCTTCTGCAAGAACAACAAATGCTCCTAACTACTGAGCCCCATGGTTAGTGCTCTTGTGCCTTGTGGTACCACCATCCTTCCAGGCTGGTCTGGTGCTATCTGCTAAGCCCATGTGACAGGTGCTACGTGAAACAGTGGAGAAATGTGCACTGCAGGGATAAATCAATACACAGATGCAAAAGTCAACCTGAGGACAGCACAGCAGCTCCATCCCTCATGCCAGGACTCTCTCCCTCCCTCCTGGGTAACTCACATCCCACCTCCCGCCTCAGTACATTTGATGAAACCAAGCAGGTGCTAGATCGGCGTGTTCTAAGATGTCTATCTGCTTTAAAAGTGGCCAGAAGTCAAAAGTCCCTGGAGAAAATGAAGAGGGGCAGATGGACAGTAGTTGTATTAGAAACATGACAGCAACGATCTTGTACTTTTACCCTAAGAGAAAATCAAATTAGATGGCTCTCCATCAGCAAATGGGAGCAGAAGGTGGATGCATAATTTCATGAGAGCATTCCTTTCCTCTGCTTATTAGATTAACTGACCTAACAAGCCATTCTCTCCCCCTCGACACTAGACAACGAAATGCATCTTAACTGTGCCAGAAGCTGACGTTGCTGGCTCCCATTTTTGTTGCTGTTATTAGAGATACCTACATAACGCTCTCTTTTAGCGGCTAATTATTGTGCTGGACCCATGGGGTAAGGCAGAGCATGAGCTTCCCCATCTGGGGAGAATAGATTTGGAGTGGCCACAGCTGTCCGAGACACACCTAAAGCTCTGCCTGGGGCCAGAGCACTACTTCCAAGCCTGCAGCTAGCCCTGGAGGTGGTAGCCAGGAGTGGGAGAGGTGACGGGAAAGAACCAGTTACTTTTGAATGAATGTGGAGAAAAGTAAATACTGAGGACATTCCAGATGGGAGTGGCCACATACTGAAAGGCACAGAAGGCAAGGACAACAGGCTGGACTTAGTGAATGTGGTGGAACATGCAGTTCCTACTCAGGCACACGTACATACTTGTGCACGTGTGTGTGTGTGTGCATGTGTGTGTGTGTGCGTGCGTGCGCGCGTGTGTGAGTGTATGTGTGTGCACTGAGACAGGCAGCTGGGAGTGGTTCTTACAGTCGGCTATATGTCACTGTCTTTGTTCCCCGAAACAGAAGCCATGACACCTGGTGGTGACCTTAGCTGACAGCAGCCTTGGGATGCTCCTCCACTCTGACAGTGACACGGAGAGGATTTTGAGGGGAAGAAGGGAAAGAGAAAGGCTAAAGAGGAGGTCAGTGTGAGTGTGTAAAGGACCAGGCTAACACTATAGTGTCCAGGAGTCACACCCAGGAGGGGCCAGGACAACAGCAGGTGCTGATAATCGCCTTGGCCCGGGATGTCAAGAGGGCACCTGGGATGGGACCGGGGTTCATACACACTGAGTGTGGGATGCTGAGGGACCTTTTTCTTGACTGTGCCACTTTAGCAACTGACTGCATATGTGGCTTGGGGGGGGTGGCTTAGCGTGGAGATATCATGCAGTGTGATGGGAGACAAGCAGACCCCCACCCTTCCAATCTGAACACTGTATTTTCTAATTTCGAAACCTTTGGACACACATGGCTGAAAATGGTCATTTAGACTTTTCAATAAAACGTTATGATGTAAGTAAAGTTCTTATAAAATATGCACTTCTGAAAACGTTTGGATAGTGAATCAAAACACAAATGACCTCCAAATGGATTATTTTGGATCAATATTGAAATGGCACTTCCCTGCATTTACCATTATGTAATTTAGTTATATAGTTTGAGTAAGATGAATTCCATTAGAGGGGCATATGCTGTGCCACTCATTTTGGTCGTTGGGAGCCCCTTACTTACCCCCACCCTCGAGTGAACTTTCCCTCCTATAGCCTGCCAGGATTTGGCCTCGGAACTTTACCTTGTCTATGTTATTTTTTGTTTGCTTTTTTCTCCCACACTGAGCTGGGACAGAACGGAGCTGACTTCCCTCCTGGACAAGCCTAGTGCCTGGCACATGGTGATGGTGGAACACAGAAGACAAACATGGTTACAGAAAAACTACCTGACCTAACCTTAGCCAAATAAATGGATCGGGGCTTAAATGGTTTTCAAGGATCCTAGAGGGGGGCATGGTATGGCAACAGTCATATGCAGGATGTCATTGTTTTAAGAATTCTAAAAGCGTGGGGATGGAAAGACGCCCCAATAGTTAAGGGTATTGCTTCTCTTCCAGAGGACCTGAGTTTAGTTCCTAGCACCCATGTTAGGCATTTTATAACCACGTGTAACTTCAGTCTCCAAGGGTGCCTGCACTCACGTGCATATACCTACAAACAGATTCACATGTAATCACATGTAAACAGCAACAATAAAATGATGATGGTGATGATGGTGATTCCCAAAGCTTGAAGGTCATTTAGATAAACTCTGACCCCTTGGCATCATCCCAAAGCTGTCTAAAAGAGGGAAGCAGAGAAATGGCAGGGCGGCATCAATTACTTGGGTACATAGATGACATGTCACCTTTCCTTTCTATTATTTCTCTGAAGAGTGTCCGTAGGGCTTGTGGGCTTAATTACCCTGTACGACACAGTCATAGAGAAGTGTCACAAGACGGCTCTTGCCTGCCAATTACCACCAGCAGGCACCGTGGAAGCTCTCTGCAGTGGAATCACACGTGTGTAGACTTCAGTGACTTTGTCCTCCTGGAGACCCATTTCATACTCAGGGAGAGCCTCTGACCTGAACCCATTTTCTGCTGCAGATTTACTTCATGACAGATTATTATCGCCTGAATTACAAAGTCATTCATACAGAAATGCGGGTCCTGGATTCCTCCGGCTAGAATGCGGGAATACAGCTAGGATGCCAAAAATGAGAGACGAAGACGCGCCCACAGCTTTAACAACACAACACACAATAAAAACCATAATTAAAAATCAGGATCCTCCTGAGTAAGTTGGGAGCATGGGGACCTTGGGGGAGGGTTGAAGAGGAGGGGAGAGGCAGGGAGGGGAGCAGAGAACAATGTAGAGCTCAATAAAAATCAACAAAAAAAGAAAAAAAAAAGAAAAAAGGGGTTAAAAAAAACCAACCAAACCCCAAACCAGGATTAGTGTTTGCCTACTAGGATGACCATCTTTTCTCTAATATTATCTAGTCCTAATTTAGAATCAAGTAAATTTAGAGTAAATAAGGAGAGGTACACCAGCACACACCCTCCCAAACCCCATGGACTTTGAAGGATGTTTTCTGGTTGGTGACAAAAACCCTAGACTGTCCAGAATCACAGACTTATTAATGTGATGTCCATGGAGGTGACAGGGTACTAGAAAACCAGCGCGTGGGGGTACAGGGTAAGAGAGGGGCTCGGGAGCTGCCTCGGTTGGTAGAGGGCCTGCCAGGCAAGCATCAGGGCCTGATCTAGGGTTCTCAGCACTCACGAAAGAGCTGGATACGGTTGTACCTATCTGTAACCCTAGCACTGGGGGTGGAGGGTAGATAGAGGTAGGCAGGTACCCCTCACCCCCAACTCACTGGCTGTCAGTCTAGCCAATCAGGGAGCTCTAGGCTCAGTGAGAGTCCCTGTTTCTAAGGCTAAGATGGAAAGTGATAGTGAAAGACATGCAGTGTCCACCCCTGGCCTTAATACAGATGTGCACACAAGAGCTGGCACACCCATGTGCAAAGCATATAATACATGTTGCACATGTACAACCACATACACTACACATGTGTGCAATCAAACACAGATGCACACGGAGGGAATGGGAGAGAGGAGAGGCAGACAGACAGACAGACAGACAGACACAAGTTGGGAAATGAAAGCAAGGGCCCCATTCTTCCCTCAACTCAAGTCTGCTGGCGTTTCTGAAACTTGCTCTTTGTAAATACTTCTGTTCCTTGTCCTTGGAGGAGGCAGTGTCACCTGGTGGACAGGAGTTCTGGGTTCTTCCTTTGGGGGGAAAGCAGAGCATTACACTGTCCACGGTAACGGGTGTTGTCACTGTCCTGTCTGCTGTCACATCTGCTTCTCGACAGAGACCCTGGGGGAGAAGGACTCTTTAGCCCTGCCTATGAGAAGCAGGAAACAGCCAGAAAGATTAACTAATGTGTACAAAGTCATATAACAGAATTTAGGGAGACAAGACCAGACTGTTGCGTTCTGAAGACGATGCCCTCCTAACCAGTGGTCCACACAGCTGTCCTGGGAGGCAATGCCACCCCATGGTTCTGAATGCCTGAGAAAAAGCAGCTGTCAGCCATGTACCAGAAGTGTATCTGGTATGCTGGAGGGAACATATGAACAGGGAGGCTTAGGATGCCTTTCTGCACTCAGTTTGACTTAGTCACGAAATTCAGGTTAGTTTTGGATGTAATTTCAGCATTTTGGGGTTCTAAATATTTAGCACTGTACATTTATAAGAACAATATGGCACCTTATTCCTTTTGTTATTCTTCATTTACTAAAGGCTCAAAATATTCAAACATGTTGTGCTTTTCTGAAATAATAATAATGATTTTCCTTTGCACAAACCTTTCTTATTTAGTTTCTAGAAACTATTATAAATAAAACTGTTGATACAGCATTTTGGAAACTGTAGGCGACAATTTAGCTTTCTGCCCAATAATTTCTTAATACACTGCCTCCATTTGTAAGTCACGGATGTGCAGGGTTCCGGATCAAAGAATGGGCATCTGCAAAGAGCAGTGATGTCACTGCCGTCTCTTGGGATGGAGCCCTTGAGTTTGGCTACTCTCAGAACACTGATGTCGGTGTCACCTCAGCAGAGATCTCGTTCATGTCACAGGAGTTGTTTAGTCATCTTTCCTGCTGCTGTGATACAATGTCCCCAAGTTTTCAGGGAGAAAGGCTCTGCTTTGGCTCATAGCTTGAGGCTACTCGTCATGGGGGGGATGGTGTGATGCAGGAGCTGGGGCAAGTTGTATTCACAGGCAGGAAGGAGAGAGAGAGAGAGAGAGAGAGAGAGAGAGAGAGAGAGAGAGAGAGAAGCATCCACAGTACACAGGCAGGAAGCAAGAGAGAGAGGGGCAGTCACAGGCAGGAAGAAGAGAGGGAGAGAGGCAGCCACAGGCAGGAAGAGAGGGAGAGAGGGCAGCCATAGGTAGGAAGGAGAGAGAGAGAGAGAGAGAGAGAGAGAGAGAGAGAAGCAGCCACAGGCAGGAAGCAGAGAGAGGCAGATGCTTATTCTCAGTTTGATTCTCCTTCTTCTCCAGTCTGGGGCCCCAGGCCAGGGAACAGTACCACTCACAGCGCAGGTCTTTGCTGCTCAGTGAACCTAACCTAGATACCCTATCAACTGTGCCATCGGCCAGACAGTGTTGTAATTAATATAGTTTCGGTGTGATTATTCGGGTCTGGCAGCCAGGAAATGAAAGCGCAGTCTGTTTACAAATGGCACCTCTGTGTTCTTTGGGACTGAACAATTATTGGACTGGACAGGACGGAAACTTCCATCTATATGCTTCTAGTGCTCTGTTGACCTGGGCAAAGAGTGGCTTTTCTCAGGCCTCAGGATTTTCCTTTAAAGAAAAAACAAAACAAAACAAAACACCATCACTACCACCACCAGCAGCAGCAGCATCAGGCATATACAAATTTAAGTATTTCTCAAGATAGGATCTTGCTTAGCCCACCTAGACTTGCTTCAGGCTAGCTCTATAGTTGAGGCTGAAGGCTGACCTTGGACTTCTGATCCCCGTCTTTCTACCTCTTGACTGCAGGCATAGGACACCGTGCTTGGTTTAAGCAGGGCTAGGGGACTGAACCCAAGGCCTCACATATTCTAGGCAAGTGCTCTACCCTCTGAGCTATGCCTTTCCCCTCCCTCACATGTTCAGATTCCATGTTTATAACACCCTTGGCAGATAGGCTCTCGTTTTGGGAGGACAAGCCAGAGGCACAGAATGACCAGCAACTTGCCCAGGGTCACACAGCTGGTACTGTGCAGGCAGTTTGATTTCAAAGCCCATTTTTTTTATTGCTATGCAAATGATACTTCCAATTTCCTTTAGTCTTCCAATGGCCGTTCTGCCCATTTCCCTGTAAATGAACAATTTATGCTTAATGCGGCGGGATTGCCTCGGAAAGCAATGACGAAGAATTTCTAGTTTAGGTTCACTCCTTGCTGTGGGTTGACGAGAGATGCAGGAAGAGCAGTAGGCATCTGAAGGACTCCCGTTCAGGTGTGGTCATTTGTGTTGGGTCAGACGGAACCAACAGTACTCTATACAGAATGAGCCGCCGGAGGTTCGGCCACCCGTGTGAAGAATCAAGTCTGCCTCATATTGATAATAAGCGGTAAACTGTGCATTTCGGGCAACCTAGATAGTGTCTGAAAACAACCAGCTGGGCTTGACTTCAGAAGACAAACCAACTTGTTTTTTAAAAATTAATTTTTAAAAATTATTTGAATTTGTGTGTGTGGGGGGGCACCTATCCTTTGAGTGCAAATGCACATGGAACCAGAAGAGGGCCTTGAATCCCCAGAAGCGGAGCTGGTGTTGCAAACATTGTGAACCATGCAAGGTGGCTGCTGGGAACCAAACTCCGGTGTTCTGAGGCAGCAGCATGCACTCTTGAGCACTGAGCCATCTCTCCAGCCCCACAGACAAACTTTTATTTCATTTTTAACTGTGCCTGGTACCCTGTTCTGTGAGTGACACTTAGGAGCCTCTGTTCCCTGCACACCCACACAGTTGAAGGGATGGAGCATTCTATACCCTGAGCTTCTTTCGCTTGTTGCAGAAACATGGCAAAAGCAGCGCTGGACAGTTTTCACAGACACAGGAGTGGTCTTTGAGATGTTAGGATGTTTGATCAAAGTCACACAGCTATGCAGGGGTTAGTTGCCAGGACATCTGGCACCCAGCCCTTGGGCATGTCTGCTTGTAAGTGGAGAAAAATGTGTCCTTCCCCTTCCACCCAACACAAGGCCTGGGTGGTTGTTTCAAGGAGTAATTTATCCAGCTGAATAACTGCATCTAGCATTCAGGACAGTTAGAGCTGAGGGGTGTGCCTGCTCGGCCAGCCTGGTGCTATCAGAGATGAGCGGGGTCACTCTGACATCCCTGGTCATCTCTGATCACTTATGAGGCCAGCTTTCAATTCCCAAACGGCTTCTGTGAGCCTCTGAAGGATGTTCCGGAAGAACCAGTTCCATGGGATAACAACTTAGAAGCGAAGATAAATTTTGCTTCAAAATGGGTGATAAATATATCCTCCTCCTCCAACTAGGCCTTATCCCCTCAAGCCTTTAAAATCTCTCAAGTTTGCACAAGCAGCTGGGGAGCTGGGCTTTAACATAGCCTGTGGGGGACATCTCATGGACAAAGTCTGATAGATGGAAGAGGGCTCAGTGGGTCAGTGGGGAAGTGATTGATACACAAACATGCATGCTGTCCTGGTTCCCCAGCATCCATGAAAAGCATTGGATATCACAGCATGCCTTGAACCCCAGCACTGGGGGTGGGAGGCAGAGACAGGTGGATCGCCAGCGAGCCGAGCCAGCGTCAGCGAGCTGAGCCGGCGCCAGCGAGCCGAGCCGGTCAGTGAGCTCTAGGTTCAATGAGGCTCTGTCCTTTGAAAATGAGGTAGAGATTGGTAGAGAAAGACACTGGTATCTGGCCTCCACATGCACGTGCATACACACAGGAACACCTGCTTACATGTGCAGATACACAAGCATGTACGCATACCTTGCACACACACAGACACATAATGAAGAATGAGAAAAATACATCAAAGACAGCCACAGATAATATCAATACTAATAGTATTGTTACTACTTTTCTGCTTGGAGGAGGTCATAGAAGTTAGCCTTGCTCTTAAGTAGATAACTCCCAACATCAACAAAAATCCTAAGGAGATAAGATA